ACAGGTGCGAGCGGCCAGGCCCCGCAGAGAGCTACTGGTGCATGGATTGGTGTGCAGGGCTACTAGGGTATAAGTAAAATGAATGACATCAATGATACAAGGGACAAGAAGGAAGAATTAGAAATATTTTATTATTATAAGGTACTTATTACGTTGTTGTTATAAGGTATAGCCATACAGTATTGTAGTGTTATTTAAAGGGAATTGGATTAGTTTTCATGTATATTGCAAACTTTAGAGCAACCACTAAAAAACGTTAAAAAAGTAAAAAGTTTTAAAAAAGGGTATATAATTGATATGCTAAGAGAAAATAGAATCATAAAAAATTAAAGCCACACAAAAATGTGGCAGTCAAAATAGCAACAAAAAGAAAATAGTAACAAATATAATAGATTTTGTATTAATCAAACTATATCAATGATCTAAACACAATTAAAAGACAGATTGTCAGAATGGATCAAAGACTAAGACCTAACTATATGTTGTCTATAAGAAACTCACTTTAGATATAAAAACACATAAATATTAAAAGTAAAAGTAGGGAGGATTTCCAAAATGGTGGCAGAGTAAGTGGAAGCTACACGGACACGCTCCCAGGACCAAATTAGAAATGCAGTTACAATACAGAAGAAATCACCCTGAAAAATCAACTAAAGAGAGCGGGAGAGAACCCTGATAACCAAGGATGGAAAGTTGAGACCACATAGAGACTGGTAGGAAGTGTGGAGGTGAGAAAGGGCTGGCCAGGCTCCCATAGACAGCAGCTGAAGTTCTGAAAGGGCTTTCAAAGAAGTTCCTCGGCTGCGGGGGGTTCCCACTGAGAACTCTGGGGTCTAATCCCCAAGTTGGGCTCCCAAGCCCAGAGCACCAGAATTGAGAAAGGTGCCCAAACAATATCGGGTAGAGGCGAATCTCTGGAGGCTTTGAGTTTTGCCTGATCTCCTTCTGGGCTTGGAGCTAAGAAAAGCAGACCCTGGTGCACATCTTGGTCCTTTCCAAAGGCACCCAGCCCCAGCAGAGGGAACCACAAGCTGTAGCTCCCAACAGGTACCCAGGGCCAGTCACAAACAGCGTCTGACATTATCCGGCACTAGAGATTGGGAGTCTTAGCAGATCTGCCTAATACACAAACACAAACAGGCAGCCAAAATGGGGAAACAAAGAAACAAGCTCCAAATGAAAGAACAAGAGAATTATCCAGAAGAAGAGATAAATGAAATGGAGATAAGAAATTTATCAGAAGCTATATCTAAAGGAAGTTTCATGGTTTGTGTTCCAGGATCCTTAGAGACTGAAGTAAGAGATCAATGACACGCAATCAATGAACATTCTGAAAACAGCTAAGTTTCACACAAATATGTGAATTTTATTGACAAATGATATATTCTTACAGTAAAAAATAGAATGCAATCTTTAGTTTGGAGTTGGAAGTAGTGTGTCCTTGATAGGAGTAGTCAGATTTCGTGGTACTATTTTCTTTAAAGCTGCACCTAAGAGGAAACCTGTATGCTGTCTGGAAATTATCCAGGTGTGTGCAACATCTGTGTGAGCCCTGATGCTTCTCTCCACACCTTCAAGGTAATTTATAGCCCCTGGTCAACATTACCCTCCCCCTACCCACCCCCAGGCTTAACATAATATATCATAAAAATAGCTAGTGCCATTACAAGTCAAAATTTCAAATATAATTTTTATACAAATGTAATTCATAATATAATCATTCTTAAAATATAGCCATTTATATGTGAGTTTGAAACATTATTAAAATAAATACTATTTCCTAGAGAAAATTTCTTTTGCATCACAAAATTATAAAACAGAAGCATATAGAATTCGTGATTGATTCTTCTTTAGTGTGTCTCCCACTATCTCTCCCACTCAGTATATACAGTATGATGTGCATAGAGTAGTCTGCCAATGCACATGACATCACCCCATGTATACCCAGACATTCAGATTTCTGGTACATATACCTGCAGCCCCATGGCTTAGCTGCCTGTGTTTTTCTCACCAATTTATATTAAAACCTTTTTCCAGCCATCCTTCAGTTCAGAGGTCTTACCAGCTTGTTACTTTCTGAGAGCTGTGGAAAGGCATGTCAACTTCCACATGAAGAGAGCTATCCTGTCCCCTACTTGGAACTGTAACAGACTTTTCCCAGGTAAGGGATGTATTCTTATTATCTGAATTTTTTGAATGTTTGGTAGAAGAATAGTACTGACCCTGATTTAAAGGATTCCAGAAGTTCTCTCTCCTGATTGATACCTAGGTACTGCACAGTACATATGTTGACAGGCTGTCTTGTGACTCTCACAGTATTCTAATACTCGCTTAGAAATGGGACAGTCTGAATACTGATCAGACATATAGTTGTGTTTTTAAACATCTTGGAGATATTAGAGAAAAAGAAATATAAGCCACTAAAGTTTTAAGTTAATCATCTCTCTATCAGCGGTTCTCAACCTGTGGGTCGCGACCCCTTTGGCGGTCAAACGACCCTTTCACAGGGGTCGCCTAAGACCATCCTGCCTATCAGATATTTACATTACGATTCATAACAGTAGCAACATTACAGTTATGAAGTAGCAATGAAAATAATGTTATGGTTGGGTCACAACATGAGGAACTGTATTTAAAGGGCCAGAAGGTTGAGAACCACTGCGTCTAAATAGTATAATTACAGTTCTCCAATAATACAAATCAACGAATTTCACTAAACAATAAGTGGAACAATTAAGCTGGCTGACATGTACAGCCACCTTTCCAATGACTAACGAAAGGAAAAGGTTTTCAGGAAAATCTGGCTGCAAACCTAAGTGGTAAATCTTCAAGGATGTGAAGTACCTGTCACACAATTAGACCACTGCCGGGAAGCCACTTATCCAGACCGAAGTAAACGTCCCTAATTCCTCTTACTGAAACGTCTCCTTTTAAAAAATACCATTACTCATCCTTGTTTTCTGAGGCATAAACCTTTCTCCTACAAGTCCACGTGTGAGCGCTCCATGCAAACACGGGTACTGCTTTCTACAGCCTGGTGTCTTGCACCTCTTCTTCGGTCACCTCCTGCAGAGCAGTGATTTTGGATCGGGACTTGTGCTTGCTGGAGTTCCGGTGGGGTAGGAGCTTCAGGCGGTCCGAGGGGCTTATGGCCTGATGGAAGAGGCTCTTCTCGCTCAGCAGTCTTTGGATGGAGTCGTACTGCCGCACTTGGTTCTCCTCTATGACCTGGGGAAGTGGCTGTTAGTGAGATACTGGACAGAAGGCAGGGCGGGCCAGAGCAAGGACAGAAGGTGGCATAGGCTCAGAGGAAGATAAAAGCCAAATGGGAAACAGTGTCCAGAGGCTGGCAGTCTGAACGGTCAGGGAGATCGCATTTCACTGCCTAGTCCTTCACCCTTTTGCTTTATGGAGCTTCGCCATCTGTGAAACTCTCTGTAACTTTTATTTAGCAGCTGGAAGACTTTTTTTTAAAAATTAGGATTGTACTGAGCAATTACCTCTTCAAAGAACTTTAGAGGAATTAAGGGTGCTTTCAAAACCAGAATGATTTTTGTTAGATCCCTTCTATAGTGTGGGGAGCGGCTACAGTGTTTTGGACAGGTTCAAGCCCTGGACTGATGAGAGGGCACAGTCCTCTCACTGCCACATGCAAGTCCCAGCTTGAAAGGCAGAGCCTTCCCAGCACAATTATAGCCAACAGCTATAGTTGTAAGCTTGAAACTATGGTCCGAACATGTGGTCCCACGTGTCTGAGTGATGTGGGCTTGATAGAGTTCGGGTGCATGTAATTGAATAGGATCGAAACTCACGAGAATGCTGTAAACATCTTGATCACCCCCTTACTTTGCCTCGTGGCATCTGCTATAAAATAAAGACCCGGCTTGTGGGCATCGTCCCTGTCTCTCAGAGAAGCAGCGTCCCACCGAGACCCAGCTTTCATTCTCTTGTCTGTCTTTTCTAAGCCTTTCAGCCGCCCCCACTCAGGTTCACCCTTGGCTGTGCTGGCGTGGCACACTATAGGGCCTTATAAATGAGTGACACTCCACAGCATTGTAGTTGAACCTCATCAACAGTGGATTTGAAGGTTAAAAATTCCAAATTGGTCAGAATGTGCCTGAGTTTAATATGCCTCCTTCACATGTTCAAGTTGAGCAAACCCAAGGTCAGAGAGTAGGAAGGCTTTATCCAGCCTCCTGAGCCTGACCATGGCAGGACAAGAGTTTGTGAGTCAGCCCCTAATTTGTTACCTGGAGCTTAGTAATAATAAATGGTAATAACAATCCTTCAGTAAGGAAAGCATTTACTTCCAGGAACCCCAAAAGTCTGAATAGAATAATGTGGTGCATCATCCTGAGAACTTCCTTGTGACTAAACCTGAGGGAATTTGTAAACGTCACTTGAAAGAATCTGTGACAGCTTTGAAAGCACAATGAGAAGGTGATTGGGAGAGACATTCACCTGAGTCCCAAATAATGACTTTAAAAATGAAATGAGCCTTTCAATTATCATATTAAAACTCTACATGAGATGCAAGAGAATCCAGGCCTGTCCTGGACCCTACCTACCCAAGGAAGATTTAGTTATTAAAAGCATCAGGACCTAAGTCTTTCTTCTGATTTATTCCCCAAATAAAGGAATCAAAAGTGTAGATGTTCCAGTTTATTAATGTCACTTAGTAATATGCTACTCTTTTAGACTTACTGCATTCCAACCTTACCTCATAACTCAGATCAAAGTGAGAAACTCGTGCAGCTATTTTGAGTCAAGCTAAATGGCTGTATGACACATATTTTAAGGTTGAACTTGTACATACCTGGGATTTGCAGAAACTATCACTTAAGAGATTGTTATCAAGAATTAAAGGAGAAATGAGATCGTAAGTAAATTATAAACACTCACCAAAAATCGTTGACATTCCAACATTGCTTCTATCCTGTGTTCACAGAGGATCACTGTGCAATTAGCAAATGCTTGTTTTAGGGTTCTTCGAATGATTTGATATGTTCTAGAAAAGAAAGAAAATACCACACAGAACATCAATAATCTGCCTTTATTCTTGATAACATACCTATTGTCCTAGCAACGGAGTCCTTTAAGTTATCTTTCCTTAAATACTTTTAACATAATTGTGATATAGTCAGCCACAACCAGCTTTGCAACCAAAGGGTAGATTTTAAGTTTCCATCAATAAATAGGACAAATATTTTGAAGGAAATTTCACAAAAGTACATTTTTTTCATTATGTAGAATCACTAGTAGTTCTTTTGTGCTACCATATGAATGGAATAGAAAGATAAATCATAAGAATCAGAATTTGCCTGTGTAACTAAATATTTCATGTGTTGACAAGGGGGAGAACTCCAAAATCACACTGAGAAGAGAACACAGGCTCTTATACCAGGAAATAAGCACTTGTGCGCATATCCAATGGTGACTTTCTCACTAGGCCATGGGAATTTGTGTCAATATGCAGCAGGCCTCTGCCGCTGTATTACCAAATAGCAGGAATTCTGAAACTCACATTGGATCCAGATGAGCACTGGGTTCATCCAGCAGCAAGATCTTCGCCTTACTGAGAACAGACCTGGCCAAGCACATCAACTGCTTGTGGCCATGGCTTAGGACCAAACCCCCATCCAACAGGACAAAATCAAGCTTCCCAGGAAATTGCTCTATCACAGATCTGAGTCCAACCTGCAGAAAAGAAAGAGGGAAAACACTGTGCTTAGAAAGGGCAGTTCAGATACCACAAGGTTAAAGACACTCATGGGAGTTCTAAAAGTTTGAATTTCATGTCAGCCCCTGCCACGCCTGCTATTCGGGCTGGATTAAACAAAAGTCTAAACTGGATAATCTTGACAGCTCTAAAGG